TCAGCTCCCACCCCCCTCAGCTCCCACCCCCCTCAGCTCCCACCCCCCTGAGATGCGAACTATGCACCTGGGATCCAGGTGGAGGGCGGCGAGTCAGCTGGCCCTGAAGAGCGGTTCCCGCTCTCTCTGCTCCTGGCAGAGGGTCCAGCGTCAGATCTACTCCAGCCCAAACCAGACCCACTCCCAGGTGAAAACACTCTGGAAGGAGTTTACACACAAAACAACTTCCTGGGATGAACTCTGAGCCCTGAGGAGGCTGCGGGAGAGAAATCCAGGTCGGGGCCACTTGCCTCTCTGAGAGCCCCGCCCCCCCCCGCCCCGCCCAGTGTGATCAGGCGGGCACAGCCGAGCAGCTCAGCACCGAGAACAGCGCTGCTGGGAGTCGGGCTGGGGCTCCAGGCCTGGCCAGCTGCCAACCAGCAAGGTCACCTGAGGTAAGTCCCTCCTCTTTGGTCTCACTCTGGCTAACAGTTCAGTGAGAGGGTGAGTATAAAAAGGCCGAGGCCCCTTCCAGCTCCCGGTTCTAACAACGATTAAGAAAAGAATTCCTGCCACCAACCAGTCGAGTGACCAAAGCACCCTTTTCCGTTCTTAAGAATCAGAAGTGAAAACAGAGAGCCTGCCATCATCCCACCAGGGAGACGGGCAGCAGATGCACATCCATTAACGGCAGCTGGGAGCTGAGCAAGGGGCGCAGGTCGTCCATCCTCCCTCCCTCCCTATTTCCCTCCCTCCCTCCTTCCCTCCCTATTTCCCTCCCTCCCTCCCTCCCTCCCTCATGCCCCAAGTATCTGAAGCGCCCTCTGTGGCGCCCTCTGTGTGCTCCATGCCGCTCACTCCACTTCCACTTCCATGAGGGCTGCCTCCTGGGTGCCATATCCGCTGTGACGCTGCCTATCTGGTCCTCGGAAGAACGCCTTCCTGCAGGGCAGCGTGTCCAGGGAGGACGGCAGCCACGGTGCTAAAAGCTGGATCTGAGGGACCCGCTCTGGCGCCCAGACCCAGAGGGCGGCTGGCTTCCTGCCCTCACTCCCAGCGCCTGGCTGAGCCACGCTGCCCAGAAAGCTGGGGGCCTGGCAGCTCGGTCTCAGACCTTTGAGGCCATGAAATGTCCTGGACTCACAGCCCACCTGCCCTAACGGGTCTCTTACTTGTTATGCGGTCACTTCTGTGAGCAGCTGGGCTAAGACAGACTCTGGCACGTTCCCACGAAAGGACTCCCCGCCCCTCCCCAGGGGCCCGGACTGGCCAGTCCGCAGAGCAGAAGGCCTCCCTCCACAGCCCCGTGCCTACAGCGCTGGACAAAGCCACCAAGTACAGACAGGACAGAGTCTCCTGCTTCCTAGGCCGGGGGTGGGGGTGGGGGGCCTGTCTTACGGATGGAATGATACACTGTCTGTGGGAAATGGCTGTTCATCAGTGTGGTTCCCTGGAGCCACCCGGGCTGTGCTGCGCCCCGTCTGGTCCCGTCCACGGCAGAGCGGCATTCCGGGGGCGGATGGGCCACGGGGTGTCTGTCCACCCCCCAGAGGACTCCGGGTGCTGCCCCTTCTGGCTGTTAGGAGCAGAGCTGCGGGGAACACTGCCGGGTTTTGGTGTGAACACAGGCCTCCATCTCTCTGGGGCAGCGCCCAGGTGCCCCCCGCCGAGTCCGCCGGAGCTGCGGGCTGAGTGGCGTTAGGAAGCTGCCACGCTGTTCCCCAGAGCGGCTGTGCCATTTACATTCCCACCAGCCACACGCCAGGGCACCGGCTCCTCCACGGCGCTGGGGTGTCGCTGCTCCTATGGCAGCCAGGCTGCTGGGTGGGGTTTAATGTGCGTTTCCCCAAAGGCTAACGATTCTGGCCGCGGGGTCAACCGCTGCCTCTACAGTCTGTGTCTCCTCTCGG